AAACCTACCTCGTCCAAGCTCCGCCATGGGTAATAGCCTACATCGCCACCTTGGTCCTCTCATGGTCCTGTGGCCGATTCCTCAAGCACTGCTGGCACATCGTGATACCCATGCTCATCACCCTTGCCGGAACAGTGATCATGATTTCAACCTTGAACATCGGAGCACGATACTTCAGCTTCGTCTTACTCTGTACTGGACCATTCGTCGCCCTGAACGTAAGATAACCCACCACTGTCTACCCACTCAAACTAGAGCTCCCATCACCCAGACTAATCAATAACTCAGATCCAAATATCCTGGGAAACCAGCGTCGTTCCGCGCCCACGCACGAAACGAGCCGCGCTCGTCGCCATCGCGAATTGCGTGTCGTCCGTCTCGCATTGGTTCACGCCGTACTTCTTCCTCACGTCGCAGGAGCCGAGGTATGAGACTGGAGGGGGGATTATTATTGCGGGGTGTGGACTTACGGTGTTGCTTTGCTTGGGGACGAGGTGGTGGTGTGTCAGGAGGAATAGGGAGCTGGAGAGGGAGGAGGTGGAGGGGAATGGGTCTGGGTGGAGGTTTGTTACTTAGGCAGGGTGGAGGTATGCTTCTGGTGGTGATGGGGTGGTGAGAAGGGATGAGATGGGTAATTGTAGAGTTGCCTGGGCGGGTGGTTGGTATTGTGGGATATAGCAGTGATTGATGCTGAATTGGGATGAGGGAGTGGGTGACATTTATTGTTTGGTATATTGACTTATGACTCACTCTGTTTCTTCACATCAATTGTTCAGTATATTGCTGTTATGACTCATTTTGATCCTGTCTTAGCACTAGAGTAAGTACCTATGGCTCTGGGCTGTTCATATGTGTGGGGATGGACATTTTCCGCGCTGTAGGAGAAGTTCCGGATGAAGCTATAGACTCATCGTCCAGCAACCGGATATTCTCCGGATTGCTAAATTAGACAAGAAAATATACTTTCGATCTTAGCGATTAACATCAATATATAAGTAACAGTATAAACTCAGTTCAGCCAGACTATCTCAATTAATCAAAGAACAATCTTTTCCAATTACATCTAAAGTCAATCACCATCTACATTCATCCAAACTATAACCAAAATGACCCAATCCGACCCCCAAACCACCAGCATTTCCAACCCTTTCCGGACGCGCATCCTCTCCGGACAAATAACCCCCCTCCTAACAGCCAAATACCTAACAACCAATGAACTCCCCCTCCTCTGCAAAACGACCTCTATCCACGCCATCTTCATCGACATGGAGCACTCCGCGCATGACATGCGCACTGTCTCGCAACTAATTCTCGCCTGCCACTGCGCAGGCATCTCGCCCGTCGTGCGCTCGCCTTCCAAGTCGCACTTCCATATCAGTCGCATCCTCGACGCAGGCGCCTCCGCCGTGGTGATTCCCCACGTGGAGTCCGTCGAAGAGGTGAAGGAATTAGTCCAGCATGGAAAGTACGCTCCCCTGGGAAAGCGCGGCTGCACGAATAACCAGCCGGCGTTCGGGTTCCGGCATGTGTCTACGAAGGTGCAGAATGCGGTGTTGAATGAGCAGACGATGCTGATTCCGATGATTGAGACGCCTGGGGCGGTGGATATTGTGGAGGAGATTGTGGCTGTTGAGGGGGTGGATGGGATTTTGATTGGTTCGAATGATCTCTGTTCGGATATGGGGATTCCCGGGGGTTATGATACTGCTGAGTATCAGGATGCGGTGAAGAGGGTTATTAAGGCTTGTGTGGATGTTGAAAAGCCTGTGGGTATTGGGGGGATTCCGGGGAGACTGGATCTTTTGGAGATGTGGTTTAAGTTGGGGGCGACGTGGTCGTTGGGTGGACAGGATGGGGCGATGGTGCAGGCGGGGATGAGGCAGTTGAGTCAGAAGTATGAGGATATCAATGTGAGGTTGGAGAGGGTGTAGATATATGGCTTGTTTGTATTTAATTGTGGTTATATATTGATTTTCATATGTCGAGGAAGTGACCCGCAGCTGACGACCCGTACACGTACTCCCCTAACATGCCGGCCTCCATGCTCCAGAAGACGTTGTCCCCAAATATGTCCCATGATAATTGTTGGTTCTCAATGGCTGCTTCTTGCAACTGTATCAAATGGGCTTCGTTCGTACTTGCATCGGGCGTCAGAATGGGCCACGGCGGGTTGTGTTCACTGACGGGTGCAGGAGGTTCATTTTCAGTATTCACACTACCATCAAGTAGGAATTGTATGCTTCCACTTTGATGAGTGATATCAAATGGGATATGCTGCTCGCCGTGCACTGCATCTGGTCGTTGGTTCTTTGTCTTGCGCAAGATGTCGGCCCGCAATGCTTCATATAGAGCGACATAGTGAACCGCATCAGGAAGCTCCTGGACCATGAGCTTCAATGTTTTCTCGCCTTTCTTGACAGCTTCAGAAGCACTCTTTATGGTCTGATAATCAAGGTCCTCTACAACTGAAACACAAAACATGACAGATAATCCCGCAGTGAACAGAGTCTGGAAGTAACTGCGTGTGTATGTCACAAACCCCTGGTCGAACATAGCACAGAAAGTAGTAATAGTCCCCACGGAAAATTCAAGGCAGATGCTGAGGAGGTCTTGCGGAGGCACATTGTTTCGTTTAGGCACGAGATCAATCGCTTTGCGGATAATAAGTAATCGCTCTCGCATCAGGAGCAGATCGTACCACTCCTGCCTTTCATACAAGCATTTTGGGTTGGAGAAGACAGGCGCAGAGTTCCTCCAACTCTCTAGCTCATTCAGTAGCTCGTCAAGATCTAAATATATGGTTCCGCTGGCTGTGGCCAGTTCAATTTGTGACATCTCCTGCTCAGCTCTCCCCTTGGCCTTTTGCTGAAATCTTGTATGGATCTTTGAGGTAATCTTACGTAGTCGCAAGCAGAGGAGAAACACCGAGGTCTCAGTTGTATGCATAGAATCCAGATGTGCCGTGCCTATGCGATAGAAGGAATCTATATCCGCAAATACACCAGACTGCCCGGCCAAGTCGAGCTCCTCGTCATCTGCGTCGGCCGGAAACCCGATCTGGATGTCTTTGTCGGCTATCGCGGGTGGGCGGTCCAATATCACAGAGGTGTATCGATCCAGCATATAACACTGCCAAAATACCCGTCTCCGCAGTTGCTCCTCTAGCAGATGGTCATCTGGGCTTTTTCGAGATCGACACTTATGTAGACCCTGCTCAATACACATTCTGGTACTAAGTTGGATCAATTCCCATATAGAAGTACCTACATACACAGTCAGTAGTGGTTACGACATTGTTATTGCGAGGACACCGCACCAATGTGATAATATATGCCAAATCTGCTTACGAGCAACAGATCCTGAATGGACTCCAAGCCTTTCAGGAGAAAGCCTTCTTCGAGGTGTTTCAACGCGGAAAGAAAATAGCCGTAAGGGTGATACTGGTGCTTGCCGGCTCGGTAGAGTGGGATGGCGCCGATGGCAAGTATCATGAATGTCCGAAATAGTTGGTGCTCCGTTGTTTGACCGACACTGGCACGTGCATGTTGGTCTTCCAGACTTTCGGGGAAGAGTGCTCGGTATAGGTCTTGCACATATCGACGCAGCAAGAACGGGTTCTGGACATGAGATGTTCCCAAGCTGTGATCGTCAGCGTGGATATGATGCCTGCAATTAAGGGGGACACATACTAACTGTCGAAGACAACCAAGGCCTCTTCAGCTGATGGCAGTGAATTTTGCTGGACACTGGTCTCTAGAATGGTGGCTCTCTTGGATAGATTGTGAAGAAGCTTCTGGTTCTGCTCCCTCCATCGGGGATCGGTGAATAGAAGACTCATAAAGCTGTTGGTCACTGTCAGCCTAGGGATCACGATTCCGAAGGAATGTCCACCAATACCTAATCCCAGCACCCTCGGTGTAGTTCGGGGAAAGGCTCATATCATTGCTATATCCATCCGCGGTTTCAACAATGTGACCTAAGCGGCCATGGGGAGCGGGCCCCGGATTATTGTCGTCTGCCGATGAATGTTCCTCTGTATCATTCATCATGGGTTCTATGTCAATGACCCCTGTCTGAAGGCTTAGGACCTTCTGTTCCAGCTCATATATATACCTTCGGCTTGTCAATCATTATTTCTGAATTAAACAGAGGATACCTACTCCCGCGAAACCGGCTCACTGCCATTCAGGCTAACCGTCAAACAGACCTGACCGTTCCTCATACAAGGCGAGCATTTTGGACGAGCATTATCACACTATCGCCCTCCAATTGTCAGATCTATAGCTTATATCGGTATAGTTTGTTTCTCAACCATTGGGATGATTACCTTGGCTTTCTTCGTGTAGCATGACTGGCAGGCTGGAAGTCGTGGGAGTTGCCTGTCCTCATGTCCATTGGCCATGATGCCGGTAATTGCTGAAGCACACAATCTTCATCACCAAGATCAGACCAGTGGATTTACAGTCTTACTATGTTTCGCTACTGCATGTCCCCTCGCAAGAGCTTCATGAACGTTGTGGGGAAATACTACGGAGAAGTGAATAGCCTCGGCTACCTGTGGTAGGGGCCATTTCTTAGCCCTGCCTTGCCTTGCACCTTCCCCGTAACTCAGGGAACATAGGTCTACAGGCGGCGCGCGAATCACTGCTTCGCAAAATCATACTACATGTACAGTATCATCTTGCATTTGAGCTAACTCTGCAAGTACCAAGGTCACGTCTTTCCCTTTGCCATTAGGGATACATCTTCCGCATCGGACAATGTCCGCAGGATCCATCCACCCGCAGTGGGGTTTCGGAAATTCTCCGCCGCACAGCTTCCCCGCAGCCAAGACAAGCATACCCCACGAGGGTCACGCAGGCTTTCTCGCGATTGTAGCGTGATGGCATCTCACGTACTCCGAAGTTCCATGTCTGGGCATTGAACATGGAAGAAAGCCGTCGGACAAGTCCTACGCCTCAGAGTCCCACAGCACAACGGAGACTCCAAGCCTGTGAAAGATGCTGGAAACGGAAGCAGAAGGTGAAAATGTTTCCCACGAATATAATCTTTCTCACTAAAGGTGTTCAAATAGTGTGACAGGTTGCTGCCGGGGTGCACAGCCTGCATTGAAGCAAAAGCCAAGTGTTGTCCACGAAGCGTCCAGTTGGGGGGCACCACAGAGGATGCAAGCGGACTTTCCAATGCTGCGCTTCCAGAGTAAGGATACACTGACTTCACTATCGTCAGATCTGCTTCAGAGCTGATGTTGACATGATTCAGCTACATTGAGACGCTTAAAAGAAAGGCGGAAGATCTGGACGATCAGTCTCGGCGTCGACGACCTCGTTTATCAACCAACACAAGCGATGGGAGGCCGTCGCTGCCATCCAATGGCCCGACAGAGGCTGCACATGATAGCCCACAAGCCTCTCACGACACTCCTTTGACGGAGCAAACCAGTCTCACTGAAAGATCGGTGCAGGCAGCTATGGGAGAGATTGAATTTTTGTCCCGCAATGCTATGGCAGAGCCCCGTGGTGAGGCAAGTGGATTTCCCCAGGAACTAGCAATAGGAAACATGATAAAAGCCTCCCTTGCTATTTCAGGGAAGGACCCAACACAGGCTTCATGCCCTTTGTCTCAAAAGTCGAAGTACAGCAACATGTTGGGACAGACCCCTACACTTACCAGAGAAGTTGTGGCTGATTGTACGGGCCGTTTCTTTGGGCATACCAAAGCCCTCTGCCCCTACATTGACGAGGGTGAGATGCTGGAATATCGTGACGGGTTCTTCGATAGTAGCCATGTGTCTCATACAACTTCGTATACCGCCTTCAGGGATTTCAACGTGTATATGGCAACAGCTATTGGGATGCTGCTGTCTCCCGAATCTGGCATCGAACTGTTCGCCAGCAGTTTGCACAGCGCGGCCATGCAGAGCTTCCCTACTATCCTAGGCAGTAACGATGACTTGAACATGTTGCATTCTATGCAATTGATGATCATTTACTCAATGTTCTCCTCGATGGGGGGATCCACATGGCATCTTGTTGGCCTCGCCATGAAGAAGGCCATATCGTATAGGTTCCATAAAGAGCCGCTTTCCGACATCGGAATACCGGAGCAAAAGCTCAATCGGAGAAGAAACATATTTTGGAACTTGTACATACTTGATAGGTGTGTGTATCTTTTGACCATTGACAGAAATTGTCTAACCACCTGCAGAACTATTAGCTGCGCAATGGACCGGCCATTCAGCATTGAAGATGAAGATGTTACGCTTCAGGTACGTCTGAGAAACTGGCTCGATGCGTGTGCTAACATCATCAAAGCTTCCATCTCATGGAGACAGTCCACCAGACGCGCTCGACTTTCCGGCGTACGTTGTCATGTACGCTCGATTAATATCTAAGATGCGAGGCTCTTCACATCAGCAATCAATTTTCCACTACGGAAGTTTCTCCTACTGGAGAGATATACCTAGGGGGGCGATGGGTTCTAATATACCACCGACTTCCTCCAGAACAATACGGCAGCTCACCTGTAGGTCCATGGTCTGCCTGGCGCAAATCAGTGGATTTGAGCGAAACGCAACCAGGGTTTTTGGGACCACACATACTATTCGGCAGGATATAATAAACACATGTAGTGAATATATCAGTAATGAGTATTTGGCGGTGGAGGATGGCTGCTTCAAGGGATCATTCGTTGATGCCTTCGATATCTTTTCTGCAGGCGTGGTTCTTATCTGCCTGGGGAATATGTCGCCAGCTTCCGATGTCCCGAATGCAGCCAGTGTTCTCAACAAATGTACTTCTCTCTTGACCCTTCTCGGAGAGAGATTTTCGGCACTTAAAGCACTTTGCAGAGTGCTCTGGTGCTTGCAGGAGTCAGCAGACATGGTAAGTAATATTTATTGGCCAAAAAGTATTTAAGACGGACTCCCTGCAAAGCTGACAAAAAAGGCGCAGGTGATTGAGTTACCGGAAATAGTCCCTCACGCCCTTCGAGTGATGATCGAAGGTACGTTTCGAAGTAGTCGCCCAGTTCGTTGACTTGCAGACCGGAAAGACTGCCTTCGGAGAATACCCGCCGGACGAAATCCGTACTACTGGAACATATATCATGGCAGTGAGTGTCCAACAATGCAATCAGAACAATTACACAGTTGGTTTGAGAGACTCATAACAAGCCGCTACTCTTTCTCAATTCAAGATGGCACCCAGCAGAGACGACGATTTGTTATCTTCCCGCCAAACGGTTGCGGATAAGCCAACGGTGTACCTTCTTGACACGTTCCCTCCCAAGGCAATCGAACATGCCAAAACACTATTCAATATTATCCAGCCTCAAGATGAAGAGTTCCAAAATTGGAGAGAGAATGCGCGCGCTTTGTTGATCCGAAGTTCCTATCTTACTGCCGAGGATGTCGCCAGTTGCCCGAATCTGATTGCGATTGGCAAGCACGGAGTAGGAATTGACAAGATCGACCAAAATGCCTGCGCAGAAAGAGGCATCAAGATCCTCAACACGCCTGGGGCGAACGCACGCGATGTGGCCGAACTGGTCGTTGCCCTTTCTCTGTCGGTTGCTCGTGGTATCCGGTCCATTACAACTCGCCAAATGTCAAAGCCAGTCCCCAAGGAGACATGTAACGGGCTGACGTTGTACCAAAAGACTGTCGGGATTATCGGCATGGGAAATATCGGACGGACTGTTGCCGAGATATTTCGGGGTGGCTTTCAGACCGACATCATCGCATACGATGCTTATATGCCGGAGGATATATGGACGCATATCCCGCACACCAGAGCCAGCAGCATCGATGAAGTCATTACTCGGGCAGATATCCTCTCGGTCCATGTCCCCCTGACCAAGGAGACACGAGACATGATTTCCTACGACAAGATCTGCATGATGAAGCCGGATGCCATCCTTATCAATGCGGCTCGGGGAGGGATTGTCAATGAACAGGACCTCACAAGGGCATTATCCGAAGGCCGTCTCTGGGGTGCTGGGCTAGACTGCCACGAACAGGAACCTCCCAGTCATGAGAGATATGGCCAACTCTGGGAGAACCTGAATGTGATCAGTACACCGCACATTGGAGCTGCCACCTCGAGGGCACAATTAGCGAGTTCTACTGCGGCGATTGACAATTTGCACCAATATCTAGCTAGTCTGTGATATTTCAATCTAATAGATACATTCTTACATTTCTGTCTATGACCACTACTATACATAAATCATATCTTAGCCTTCAAAACCCTCCACCCAACCACCCCCCTACAATGCCACCTCACGACCTGCACATTCCCCTCCAAGCTATCCGTAATAAACAACGTCCTCCCATCCTCACCCCCAAACGTACAATTCGTCAAATTCTTCCCTCCATCCTTCGCAGTAACAATCCTCGCCTTCGGCACCCCCTCCTTATCCACCACAAACACACACCCAAGACTCGGATGACATACAAACAAATTCCCCTCCTCATCCACAGCCAACCCATCAGGCCCCGCACACCCAAACGACTGGAAAAACAGCCCTACCTTCGACGTACTCCCATCTGCATTCAACGGTAACCTCCACACAGAATTCTGCCTCGTCATAGCAACATACAAGAACCGCTCATCGGGAGACAATACCAACCCATTCGGAGAAATCCCGTTCGACACAAGACAATCTAGCTTCCCATTGGGGGAAAGCCGGTACACGCACCCGGACGGATCCGTCATCCCCGTTTGGCCCTGGTCCGTGAAGTAAATCTCGTTCTTGCTGGAGATGATTAGGTCGTTGGGACCTTTGAAGCGTTCTAGGTTCCGGCGGGTCAGGAGGGGCGTTAGAGATTGAGTCTTCGGGTTGAAAAGAAGTAATCCCTGATTGCATCAATTATCAACATTTCGATTCTTTTGAATGAGTGTGGGGTGGGGTGTATTCACCTGCTTATAATCCGCAATCACCAAACATCCATCTTCTCGAACAACGAGCCCGTTGGGTTCCCCATCGTAGCGGATACATTCCGTCACGTTCTTGCTCTTATCTATCTTGAGAATTCTCCCGTAGGGAACATCTACGATGTAGAGATCGCCGTTGGCGGTATACACTGGCCCCTCGAGAAAGATATCTGATGCTGGGCGTGCCGAGCCGCTGCGCCACTCTGTTGGTTGGCCTGTGCAGCGGAGGTTGGGGGGGATGCGGGTGTAGATTTCGGCTTGAATGGTTGGAGGGGCTGGATAGAAGTTCATTGTGAGAGTAGTAGTAGTCTTCTTTAATTGGATTGGAATCAGTAAAGGCTGAGGGTTTGCTGTCGCTGGTTGGTGTTGGTCCCCGCAATGTCTCGCTTATATATTAGGACTAGTAGTCGTAGTAGTGCCATTTCGTGCAATAGGACTGGATCCGATCCGCGTCGGACATTTCCCGGCGTTAGTGCTAGATTGGATGTGGGCTAGTGCTACTAGTAATATGGGGATGAGATGAGAGGGTTTACTTATAATTTGCAAGAATCCGGGGTTACCCCGTGCTTTCTGGGGATCTGGGGAACCTGCCATCTGTGGTATTGAGTGTTCAAGGTTCAAGTCAAGATGGGTCTTATTACTGAGACGAGAAAGGCTATTCAGGATGCTCCGAAGGGCATGTTCAATGCTTATGTGTTGATGTGTACGTGTGTGTTTGCGTTTGCTGGTGTGGCTAAGGGGTTTGATGAAGGTATGATATATATATAATTCGGCTGTGGGGAATGGTAGAGGGCTAATTGATTGTCTGTTCTGGTAGGAAATATCGCATCGCTTGTTACGCAGCCGCATTTCAAGGCAAAGTTCGGCATTGATCATTTGTCGGAAGACGAGTATGCGAATACGAAAGGATGGATTGTCTCTATTACTACCGCTGGTGCGGTTTTTGGATGTCTTGGTGTATGTTGGTTTCGATTTATGTTCGTGCTCTGGTAATACTAATGTGGCTGCAGTGCCCTCGAATCAACGATCGATTCGGACGACGATGGACTTTTCGTCTTTCGACGCTCATATATATCGCAGGAATTCTCGGGCAAGGTCTATGCAACGGGAACCTGTCAGGGCTTTATGCTTCGAGGTTTATCGCGGGCTTGGGATTGGGCGTGCTTACGATTGTGCCGCCTATATATATTTCAGAGGTATGCATTCATGATGATTTAGTAACTACTGTGAGAGATGTCCGTCCGACTAACAGCCATAGATCGCACCGAAAACGATTAGAGGTCTTCTTACACTGCAGCACGCTGCTTGTCAACAGCTAGGCGTTGTATTCGGCTTCTTCATCAACTACGGCGTGACAAAAAGCTACCCTGGCGGTGATAAGCAGTGGATGCTCCCTACACTGTTGCAACTCCTCCCGGCCACAATATGGCTTGTCGGGTCCTTCCTCTGCTGCGAATCTCCCCGATGGCTACTCTATAAAGGCAAAAGGCACGAAGCTGCCACGAACCTCGTCAAACTCCGCCACCTACCCCTCGACCACCCTATAATAGTAGCCGAGCTAGCAGGCATGGACGCCCAACTCCTCCTGGAAACCGAATCAGTCGGCGAAGCCAGCATATGGGAGCTCCTAAAAGAGACACTCATCCCAATCGAAAACCGACGTCGCTTCTTCCTCATCTTCATGGCAAACCTCCTGTCCCAGTGGTCCGGAGCCAACGCCATCACGCAATACTCGCCCACGATCTTCGGCTACCTGGGCATATCCGGCGACGAGTCGACCTTCCTGGCGACAGGAATCTACGGCGTGGTAAAATTCGCCAGTACCCTCGCGTTTGCCCTGTTCATCGTTGACTTCATCGGCCGTCGTCGATCACTGATTACAGGCATCTCCCTACAAATAGTCACACTAGTGTACGTGGGAGCCTACCTCGGCGCCACGAAGGACATGACTGCAACCCAAATCAGCAATACCCCCAGTGCCTCGCGCGCATCGACTGCAGCGATAGTGGCTATTTACATCCACGCCGTGGCATGGAGTATTGGGTGGTTCGGGATTCCGTATCTTATCGGGTCGGAGGTTTTCCCGATTAGAATCCGGTCATTGAATGTGTCCATTTCGATGGCTTTCCACTGGGCGTTTTATTTTGGGTGTTCGAGGGCTATGCCGAGTTTGCTGGCTGCTACGCATCGCTGGGGCGCGTTTCTGTTCTTTGGTTGTATTTGTGTGATTGGGCTGGTGTATGTGTTTTTTGCTATGCCGGTGAGTATGCCATTTTCTATTGGGGTAGATGGGATGAGGCTAATCGGGCATAGGACACGACTGGGCGGTCGCTGGAGGCGCTGGATAGTCTGTTTCAGCGGCCTTGGTATACGGTGTATCGGGTGGCTTATCCGTCGAGTGAGGCCGTTCGGGTGGAGAGAGAGGATGCAAAGTTGGGGGTGGAGCATGTTGAGAGGGCATGATGGACTCCAGATATGCTTATTTGAGTGCTATCATAAGAACTGTTCCAATAGGTTTTATTACAGTAGATATTGAATTGACTCTGCTATGAATGCATTTGTAGAGATGAATAATAACCATACTGAATCTCGTACCCCAATTCATCTCTGATCCGATCAGATAAGATAACACATCGATCACCCCAAAACAGTAAAGCCCCGCGCCAATAATGACATCTTCTCTCCCAGTTTGATTCCGTTGCATCAATTCACCCCTCTACCCTTCCACCAACACACCACCACAGCCACCACACATTGACCTCATCCCATGGCCGGAACAAAACGCACTTGGGACGGACAACCATCACCCAACACCACCACCCTATCAACAAGCACCCAACCACAACCACCCACCATGGCAGACTCATCCACCACAGACCAACCCCAGCAACCCGAACAGCAACAGCAGGAGCAGCAGCAACCCAACCCCTTCATTCCCATGTTTACCACGTTCCGCGACGAGCTCGACGAGCACCACGACCGACGCGAACGCATAATAAAAGCCAGTCGGGACATCACCGCCCTCAGCAAGAAGATAATCTTCGCGTTGCAGCGGTATGCCCCAATCCCCAATTCCCCCCACCAACACCAACACCACGACCACTAACACATAATCAACATAATAGTATCCGAACCCTCAACCACCCCCTCCCCGCCAACCTAACCAAAGAAACCACCACGCGCTTCGCACAAATAACCACGCACTTCACCTCGCTCCTCCCGGACCTAACCCCCGCGCCCAACACGCACCGATACATGCGCCAACTCAGCCCGGCGATCCAAGAATTTATCGAAGCCATATCCTTCCACCACTACCTCACCACACAATCCCTAATCACCCTCGAAGAAGTGCGGAAGCATCTCCCTGCGGGGATTCTTGTCACGGAGGAGGATTATCTGCTTGGGTTGTTTGATTTGACGGGCGAGATGATGCGGTTTGCGGTGACGGGGTTGTCCGCGGGAAGTACGTCCGAAGGTGAGGAGGGAGGGCTAGGCGAGGAGCAAAAGGGCATTGTGGTCGATTTAAGGGAGATGAGGTGCGGGTTTGAGGGGTTGAGTGTGCCGGGCAGACATCGCGGGGTTATGTTGAGGGATATGGGGAAGAAGGTGGATGTTATGCAGGGGAGTGTGGAGAAGGTGGAACGCGCGGCGTATGGAATTTTGGTTAGGGGGAGGGAGAGACCGAAGGGGTGGAGGCCGGATTTGGTGGTTGGTGGTGGAGGTGGAGAGGATGAGTATTGAGTGGTGGTGGTATCTATCTTAGTTTCATCCTGGGTGACAGGAGATTTGGGGGAACGACGGATGTTGTACGATGTACATGCATATCAAGGAACTAACAGTATCATGAAAATAAACATTGCATGACCATTACCTCATCAATCATGTACGAGTATACTAAATACTCAATATCTGCAGAAAACAACCATCATAAATCAGAAGCACTCAAATCAAACCAAATCAAATGAAGTGAAAACACCAAACACCATATCCATCCACCCATTACCCATCCATCATCAACATCATCATAATCAATCATACCACCTCCCCTAAACCAGTTAAAACAGTCTAAACAGCCGGAAACCTCGGATCCTCATCCTCCGTCAAAATGCCCTGCGAGATCAAATCCTCGGGATTCGGCCGATTCTGAATCTTATGGTCGAGGTGATCAGCCAACATATGTTTCTCGAGCTCACGAGCATTGGCCTGCAGTGCGGGGGCGGCGTGGGTGGTGGGGAGGATGTTTCCTAGCATCAATCATCAAGCAGTCAGCCATATCCATACCCATATCTTTGAAAGATGTATATATAGTATATCGTAAGGTGGACATACTCTCAACCAACTCCTCCCTCTCCGGTCGATGTTCAAGATGTTTCTTCAAGGCGTCTGTGGTGCGTTGGCGGGCGAGTTCTTGGCGGGTTGCTTGGAGGGAGCTATCCTCTGTTAGGAATCTTCTTGTATAGATTGTATGTATAGATGGATGGAAGGGGACAGCGTACGGAGCAACATTCGTATCGAGCAGGATATGTCTGTCTTTGAGATCCTGCACGTCGGGACGCCGCTGGAGATGCTTCTCCAGGGAACTGCGACGTTCGGGAGATGCGGAGAGAGGGGTCTCGTCGATGGAGGTAGCTGTAGTAGTAGTGTTGAGGTCCATTGCGGGGTAGACTTGTTGGAGCTTAGATGGGTGGGATGAGTAGTAGTATGCTAGGGTGGTTGTGAACGCTGGGCAGGTATGGAAGATGGCTGGGTATATACAGTAAGTGGAAAGAGTGGTGTGACTGGGATAAAGAATAGAAAGAAGGCTGGTTGTCTAGGGGATTAAGAGGGGAGGTCAAGTGATGCGTGCGGAGGACGAATCCACGGGACTGGCGCCGAGGAGGCCCACTGGACGATGTCATCACACCTGACTTCATTACCACCTACCATTCTCATTCTCACTACAACATCAACATTCAGGATTCAGAATCGGTCACTGTTGCATTCTAGTCACACTGGATAGTTAACAGTTAGCTAAGTAGCAAGTCGCAAGTAGCTCGGTCACATCGCCAATCTGTTTCCCCCTCCAATTGTTCTCCGTAGCAATCGAAAACATGTCCAACAAAGAGTAACGCAAAGAATGACTGCTATATCTGTTTTGTAACTGCAGAGTAGAATGTCGAAAAGCGGCCTGGGAATTGCCCACCACAACGTGGCTAGGAGAAAAGATGTGCTCCATTTCTTCCCTCGGAAGTCCGAAGGAATGAAAGCAACGCCATATGAGGACCCAGCATCTACTACGCCTCTCGCAGCCTAAGCGACGCCCAGAGAGTTCACCCCGACGATGGCCATCCTGGATCGAAACTGTCCCGTATCCGAATCCTCTCGTCTACCGCATTTTCGCATCCATGCCGTCTGTCCAGGACCTGTCGCCCATCAATGTAGCCAGTCGCATCCGACAACAAGTCTGACCTTAGGCAGCCCGGGAATGGCAGAACATATCCTTTCTGCTTCGTGTAACAACCACAATGGTCTATTTCAAGTTTGAGAAATAATCATCCGTCCATCTGCACAGACTGACGGACCCGACCATTGGTCAAGGAACCCAGAGCTTGCCACGGCCGCGGCTGCTACCACGCGAAGGACCCCGAGAACCACCACGGCAGCTGTTCGAATAGTTCCGAGATGCCCCCGCCATGCCACGTGCGGCCCCGGACTGGGTGCTCAGATCAACCGTGGGCTGCTGCTGCTGCTTCGTCACACCCAGCGATCGGCTGAACGAGTTGGGGTCGATTGGCTGCGTAGGAATCTCCATAGTAGCCTCCACCGGAGGGGCGACAGACTTGAATGCAGCGGCCTTGCGAGTAGTGCCGCCGCGCGAGCCACCTCCTCGAGTGGATCCTTTGCCGCGACCGCGGGGGACGAAGACAAGCTCATCCTCGTCGCTCTCATCTTCGTAGGAAAGAAGAGACTTTGGCTCTGCGGTGGTCGTCTGGGTCTTCTCCACGTATTTGCACCGGTTCTTGTATTCCCGCTCCTCGTACTGGATGGATGTCCGCAGCTGATGAATGTTCTTGACTCCGATGCCGAATTTCTGCGCCCAGACCTGGGTAGGCCGATCGTTCGTAATGAGAATGCATGTTTTTGCCGCGTTAGCTGCATCAGGGCCGCTGTGCAACCGCCACAAGAGGGCGCTGAGCAGCGGTCTGAGCATCAAAGGAACCGTGGGAATAGTGGACCCAGACGCAGAACGACGGTGTCCACTCTCCGGCTTCTTTTTCGCATCCTTGCCGACGCCATTGACAACATGCGAATTCGCACACTCGGGACTGGTCCGGGAGCTCCTGGAGGACGGTCGGGAAGCAGGGGCGCTGTGAGTGCCGTTTGACGTGATCGAGACCGCATCGGATTCTTTCTTGAAATTCAACTTGTTGAGAAGCATCTGGGACAGATCGTCGGGAGCGGCGCCGTTCTTCTTCGTATCTTTGGATTTATCCTCGCGATTCCGCTGCGCCATCTGGTCGCCCGGAAGAACTCCGTTGGCTTCGGGTTCCTCCTCGAACTCCGGAAGGAAGAACTTCTCCGCCTCGGTCCAGTTCTCATATTGCTCCATGGGACCCTGCAGGATGACTCGTTCGGCGGAAATGTTATCTTTGCCGGAGGTAACACGGTCGAGGAAACGGACGGCCTCTCGGGCATTGATGGCGACTTGGGATCCGGCTCTCTTCAAGGCATGGAGGCGTTCAAGGGCTAGAGAGGTATCGGTCAGCAGATACGACTGGCGTGTCATCGAGTCACTCACTGTAGAGAGGAACGATAAGAGTGATGGCGCCGTTCGTGGTCCATTTTTTGATTTCGCTGATATTGGTGGTTAACGCCGTCTCGTCCACGGCACAGTGGAAGACCTTGCGTCCGGTCGACATGGCTGGCTGAGAAAGGTCGACAGGACCGGTCGCGTAGTTGAAGGGTAAAAGACTGGAAAGCCACAAGGGCCCTAGACCGAACAGCTTGCTTGGACGACTGCGACCGAGCCGCAGGCGTGGTTAGCGTGGTGCTGAAGCCCGCGAGGGAGGTTTGGATTGATTGGGATTAATGGAGGCGGAGGCCTGGGAATGTGGGGGCGCTGGTTCGAGGACCAGAACCACGGCCATTCACAGCCCGACCGCCAGCCAGATGCCAGATTGAAGGAATGAATCACTTACAATGAAAACCTCGCTCACTAGGGAAGATCATCTGCAGCATTTTGGGTCTTAAATCAGCGATCGTGGATGGAAAAGAATCGAGGCGAGATGGTGAGCGAGGAATGAATCCATCAGCGGATCAACTGAAAGCCGCGGGATTCGCCTGGGGCCTGACTAAGCGCCAAACGGATTCGACCGATTTTCCTGTCATCATCATATATTCTCCTCCACTATTGTTCCCCTCATAACACGCCGCTACCATACCCCAGTGACTCAATGGCCGCCCGGGTGTTATCATCACCTTTACTCATCGCTACACGCTTATCTTATTTGGGATTTCCCGCGTACTTCTAGATGGTTCGATCTCTATCGGGTATGGTATAATTGCGGTTGCTGGAATCGAGATGGAGGGGAAAACGCTATGTCATACAAGACCCGACGATCATCAGGCCAATCCAATCTCCTCGCCTTCAAACCAACGTCAGCTGTCCTTTCTCCCGTCTCTACGTTGCCTTCTTGATGAGACCCTCCTCGGGCTTGACACGTTGTGCCCACTCACTGTCACCATTGTCAGCCACCGAACCTTTGTAGAAAGTCAGGGATCGGAAAAGAACTTACGTCCAGCTGCCATCGTATACCCTCCGTAGGTTGGGCTCTCCGAACTCCGCTTCGCCTAGTGCCGTCTCAATGATAGTCGCTGTCACACCGGTGCCACAAGAGCTGATGATGGACTTGGACTCATCAATATCCTTGCCTTCGAAGATCTTGCGTAGCTCTGGCCCCGGGAGATAAGTCTTGGTCTCCGGGTCCAGCAGTTGTTGAAAAGCTAAGCTTTGGGAGCCAGGAATATGGCCCGACGACAGGCCCGGACGTGGCTCCGGATCGGTTCCTGCCCAGCGGCCGTACGAGCGTGCGTCCAGGATCTCCACTTCCTTTGCGCCCTCCTTTCTATGCTCCTTGGCGATCTCTTTAAGCTCCCGGTAAGGGATCACGAGTTTCGAATCATACGTAGGTACGGGGTAGTTGGTCCGCTCCGGCTGGGAGGGCTCACCCGTCTCCGTCGGGTATCCTTCGCGAACCCACAGCCTGTAGTTATTGAGTAGATGAACTCGAGGGTGTCCAAAGACCCGAAGGGTCCATCCGACGCGGGGAGCGCTGAAAATGCCCAGCTCCTCGGTGTCGTAGACCACCACCTCGTCGTCGCGGCGAATGCCAAGCTCACTCATTGCTTCGGCAAACGTTTCGGCGGTAGGAAGCATGTGCGGGTAGGGCGAGTCATGGTCCTTGACTCCGTCTAGGTCAAAGAAGCGAGCCTCGGGGATGCGATGCTTGCGGAAGATGTCAATTCCTTTGCGACCCTCGGGGTCGTTCGGCATGAACCAGGCCGCGCATAGCGGTACCACACGAGGAGAGGTGGAGATCTTCGTGCGCGGGTTCTTCTTGAGGGCGGAATCAAGCTCCTTGGGGGTGATCAAATATGAGTTGAAAGAGAACTGGCGACATTGGTTTACCGTGGACATGGTGGACCGAAATAGGCGAGTCGGTGAAGGGATGGAATTCCGAAGAGTTGCAAACGCCATGTTGCGAGGCGGGGGGGCGCAGATGCAGTAAATATGAGAGAAAATGTTCAAGGATTATTTACATTCCGCTCAGACCGTGGTGTCTGATTAACCCACCTGCAGGTCCGGAAAGTTGAATGAGGGGGGGAAGGAAAGGAAGAGGAATAGTGTGGGAAGCGCAAGATCAATGGACAATGACGGGAGAGCTTCGCTATCAGTCCGTCTTTCTCCTCGCAAATGCGGAGGTGACCATGTGAATTTCGGGAAAGCCTGTCCGCTTATCGCCCGGTCCACTTCCCTTCCAACCACTCCTTCCCTTAACCTCCCCTTCCTCCCGACACTAAACGAGATCCCCCCATTGCAATCCAATCAATCATCCTCAGCCATGAAGGTCACCATTAAAGAGTGGAACGCCGTTGCTACTTGGCGCTGGGATATGCCCGACGATGAAGTGTGTGGTATTTGTCGGGTTCAGTTCGATGGCACATGTCCGACCTGTAAATTCCCAGGTGATGATTGCTCGCTATGTATGTCAACAGTACTCCCTTTTTTTCACACTGCATAGTTATTAACGAGGAAATTTTCACAGTGCTGGGAAAGTGTGGTCACTCCTTTCATATGGTGCGATTGTGGATCTTGATGTTCTCATCGTGAAGACGAAACACTAACATTAGCCAACCCAGCACTGCCTCATGACCTGGATTCAGCAAGAGTCCTCCAAGGGACTCTGTCCGATGTGCAGACAGAGTATGTCATTCATACCCCTGCATTTAAGTATGACTGCTAATCTAGCTGCAGAATTCGAATGGAAGCAAAACGACGAGGAAGATGAATAGCAACCTCAGTACTCGACAACCTAAGTGGACTGTTGAAGGCGTTGGTGGCTCCTTGCAAATTATGATACCCTGCGACTGTATTTCACTTCTAGCATAGAGCTATTAGTATACTAGTATTTGTCTATATATATATTCTTGAGCACAGGTACTCCAACATCCGTGCACAATAAACAACTCTGTTTACCGCCGATCGGGTCACCTGACGCTATCGATAAGGCAGCAGATGATCCACGACGAATGCGGCAAGTCAACTTCCTGGTAAGAGTAAGACTAAGACTAAAGTAGTTCCCCAGATAAGTTAGTAGTACTACTATCTCAGGTACCGGCCCTGCCACGCTCTCACTTCCCATCCTCCCTCTCCATCACTCCATTCTAACCATGTAGCTTCCCCCCCAGACATGTCTCTTCCCAAACACACCTCCCCATCTTCCTTATCCTCCTCACCCTCCCGCCAATCAGTCCGCCGCACCTCAGGATCTCGCCCCCAGAGCATCATCGATCGGCCCGGCACCGCCCAACAAGTCACCGACATTCCGGAGGAGCACGACTCCCACGAAGCTGCACCTGCACCAGCTCCAGCATCAGTCCCACAAGTGCACGCCCCTACCGAGCATGAAAAACCCCACGAGACAACATCAACAACCACCCCATCGCACACCACCTTCCAACCCTTCTTCACCTTAATCGAAGACGCCAACTCCTCCGAATACCACCACCCCACAGTACACTACATCTTCTCCGACGATGACACAGACATCGTGACCGAGGCAGCTTTACGCGCCCTAGAATCCGAGCCCGACCTTTTCGCAGCCAACGGAAAGGGTAAATCCAAACCCACACAAGACCACAATCGTCAAGACGGTGGTGAACAAGGCACATACCCGGAAGACGATGAATACGCCCACCAGAGGAAGGAATCCCTCCTTCCGGACCCTATCCCAGGTGTTCGCGATAACTACGTGATCCTCGATATAGACTACGCCTCGCCAGATGGTACACATCCCGAGACGACAGTCCCAAACACCGACGGCGGCGGCGCGGCCAGCGCTCACGAAGCCCAAGGAACAGGAGCTCCGCTTCCACAACAACAGCAACAGCAACAGCAACAGCAACAGCAACAGCAACAGCAACAGCAACAGCAACAGCAATCATCGGCGCATAAATACACCGTGACCTCCGCACACAGTTTATCCCCAGCATGGCAGGTTTTGAACACGCAACTGGTTTCGGCGCCTACCTTTGAGGATAACAATACTAATAACTCGTCTGGAGGACAGCCGCCAAACGGGAGTCTGATGCTTAAGATTAAGGGTACGGCAGGACTGCCTATGAATATGCCGGGGAAAGACAAAGATAGAGAGAGGAGTAGTCAGCGGTTGGAAGATATGATGGATCAGTTCGCGAAGCGGTTATCGGAGCTGAGACAAGTCATTGGTGCGGAGGAGCAGATGGATGATGCGGAAGAGGAAGTGGAGGGTGATGTAGGACTGCATGAAGGGGATGTCGAGGGTGCTCCTGCGGATAACACTGAGGAGCCGATCGAAGCCGAGACTCGTGTTGAGGGTGGTGGGGAGAATGAGGAACAGTCTGCAGAAAGTTGAGCTGGCAAGTGTAGATGTCCGGACTGGTTAATGGAACCATGCAGTGTAGCAAACTTTATATGCACTGCTTATAGGCACCCACCACGCTACATACTACATCCTATGGTCTAGTGTTGAGCAGAAATTATGACGCATTCAAACAGCCACAATTGGCTAATCTCTGTTGTAGCAGACGAGGTATCTATACCAGAAACAATGGTAACACAAACTCCCAAACACCATATTGCAAAGTTTCAAAGCATCACCCATTCCGCATTCAAAACAAGCACCCAGTCAGTGTCCGTCTCTAAACATCCAGTCAAAATACGACATCAAACAACCTGTCGTTCTTCAAAATGGACAAATCCCAGGGTATTAGGGTATCCCATAACGCCTGCCACAACCAAGCGAGACATTTTAATATTCATGCACAATGCAAAACAAAAGAAGAGTCAAGCACGTGACACTAATTGAAGGGCTGGTTTCTCAGCCTTCTAGCGCTGGAAGGAGGAGGAACGTTTTCCGGTCCCTCCAGCATCCCAGCCATCTTCCTCGTCAGCTTCTTCTGCGAGAGCTTGCTATCCGTAGAGGTGAGATTGGAGCAGCGTCTTTTCGCAGGTGGTTGGTCGGTGTCCTCGGTTTCCGGTGTGAGGTCCATAGTAGTCCGAGGGGTCTCCGTGCCGGCAGTAGATGATTTGCGGTCTCCAGCGCTAGATGCGCGCGGTTTTACGACGTTTGCATCGACTTCCCTAAGGCCCGTGTTGGAAGGAGTAACCGCGGTTTTGGGTGGTAAAGATCCTACCTCTTCCGAGGTGTCGTTGAAAACGAACCCTTTAGATGGGGGAGTTCCAGGAGAGCTGTCGAGGGTGGGAAGCTGATCTTCGCCGCTGAATGGCAGTGCTGTGAACTGTCTGGACGTTCTCATCCGGGTTTTCAAGCAATCATGGCCTTCAGTCCGCGGTAGGTCAGACGGATAGTCGTAGGCGCGCTTCCTGGGAGTTACGCCAGTGGAGACATACTCCTCGAAGGCTCGGTTCCTGATGTTCTCCCGAAGATCGGTCAATGGTTTGCGGACTTCATCCGACAGTGGCATCGTCGACTCTTGCAGGTTGAGTTGTTGCTGAATTGCATCCTCTTGTAGCTCACTTAGACGGCCACCAAGCTCTGTGAACTGTGTGTTTACAGAATCATATGACTGGTGGACATTGGATGACATGTTCCGCAGGCTTGAAAGATGGGCGTCACGGTAACGGCCATTCTGCGAGCGAGCCTTGGCGACGAAATCATCCAGTGCTTCCATTTGTTTGCTCATGTTGTTCACCTGAGCATCAACAATACGGACCGTCTCCTCGTGGACCGACTCTGTGACCTTTTGGATAGAAGCATTACGTTGATCGAAGACCTACAATATTAGTATAAGTGTGCACAAGTAGTCAGAGAGCAAAACTTACCTCCCAGTCACTTTGCATCCTTGACCTAATGTCGTCTTTCGATGCAGTGACATCCTTGGCAAATTGTTCCGACTTGAACACCCACTCGTCAACATGGCGGTCATACTGCGCAGTGGCATGCTCCAGGAAGTCTCCAGAAGATGTAAGATCTGTGCGCATTGTCTCCACTCTACCCTTCAAGCGGCCAAACTGCCTCTGGCGGGACTCTTCAATCAAAGCCTTCATCTGCGACATCAAAAGGTCACGCTCAGCTTCAGCATTGGCACTTTCTTCCTCAAGGGTCTGTGCCAAGTGTGAAGATGCCCTACGGTTGGCCTCAACCGCCTTGGTATTAGCCTCCTGGAGCTCCAATCGCAACTTATTGATCTCTGCTTTTTGCCCGTTGAGATGCGTGACCATATCCTCGAACACGGTCTTCAAATCCTTGCCAAGAGCACTGTAAGAAGAATGCAGTTGAGCGTGGAACTCGGAGAACTCGCCGATAACCTCCTTGGAAATGCGAGCAGCTGCAGCTGAGAGACCATTCAATCCTTCGCCAACCTTACGCTTAACTTCCTCGCGTAGGTCCTTAATCTCCTCGAGGACTTCGTTCATCTCATCATGGGCGCCCGTGGTCTGAGAATTCGCCTCACGTTCCGCCTTATCGAAGAGGCCTGCCGATTGAAGCAATTGCGACTGGTTCGATTCAATATTGGCGAGTTCACGTGTGACAAATTCGTTGATCTTTTCGGACATAGCCTCCACAAGCTCGCAATGTTGCTCCTGGAACGCCTCAACCTTGGAATCAATCACCGTAGTGACATTGGACACTTCCGCAGTAGACACCTGCCAGGCCCGCTTGTTGGTGGCATCCAGGTCAGTCTTGCGTTGTATCTTGGCGTGCAGGCCACTGATGTCTTCCACCGTCGTATCCAAAGTAGATAGAAGACCTGCGCCGATATCGCGAAGTTTTGTTTCTGTCTCCTCGTGCGCTTTGCGCAGCATTTCCTCTTCCTCAAGCTGAGCTTTGGTGTCCTTGAGAACAATCTCAGTTTGCTCGAGCACATCATTGGTATTAGCAAGAGCAGCACGTGTTTCTTCATTGTCCTTCTTCAGATCATTGAAATTGCTGGTGAGCGTGAAAAGCTCCTGAACCTTGTGTCGCAAGCTCGATTCCATGGACTCAATCTTTGCACGCTGTTCCTCATTGACGATCCTTCGTGATTCGCTCTCCATATGCATCTCTTCCCAGGAATCGACGCTCATATACACGCCATTTCGGTGTCGCGTAGCAATAAGCTCTCCCTTCAACTTCTCAATCTCTGCTGTGAATTCACGAATGAGCGTCTTCTTCGGCATCGTTGAGTTGATCTGTGGCTTGTTGCGAATATTCTTCGCTCTAAATGCATAATCCAGCGTGGAAATAGTTTCCTCCAGGTTACTGCGGGATGGTGAGACCGTAGCAATGATGCATGTCTTTGTTCGTCCTCCGAGAGAGTCTTGCAGCAGGCGGGTAAGCTTGGATTCTCGATATGGGATATGGGGGCTTTTGTCGACCAAGGCGTTGATCACACGACCCAAAGTGAGCAAGCTCTTGTTGATTAGACCAGCTTCGGTCGCACGCTTGTTTTCAGCACCGCTGCGCTGGATATTCTCACTACCAGCCAGATCGACCAAATTCAGCTTTCCGTGGCTGATATGCTCGTCGCCGGACTCTGTAATTCGTTTCGTAAGGACGGTGATAGTGAAAACAGTGTGACTCCGGGAACTCAGGTCGTTGCATTTTGTTGCTGCTACTTGCCGCTTGTGACTTCCCTCCTGGAGCAGCTTTATTCCAGCCGACGCTGAGTCGATAAATGTTTCCTCCATACCCTGAACAAGCGTGCTTCCATGGCCCTTCTTCGACTCGTTTTCATAGATTTTGAGTTTCGAGTTATCCTCGTACGCTAGCAGATCGCGAAGCTCTTCATTGTATAGTTCGATGAAAGAA